ACTAGTAGTAACAAGAAGCTACTAGTAACAAGTGCATCGCTACTAGTGACAGGTGCCTTACTAGTAGTAACAAGAAGCTACTAGAAACAAGTGCGTCGGAGCCGGTTTCAGTCGGTCGTTGGCCTGGTGCTTCTCGGTGCCTCTCGGTCGGAGTCGGAAGGCGACCTGGTCCCAGCTGTCGTTCGCTGTCAGGGTACCGTTTCCGGTGCACTGCTGGATGTGAGGCCTGACTGCTGCAATGGGAAAACTACAGAGTTCCGGTTGAGGTGTACGATGAATCGTGAAGAGCCATACAGATCCATGGGCAACAAGGTAAGCTATAGGTGTTCCTGTTTGATTCGAGCATGCGAGATACAAAGCGTTTGGTTAAAAGCAAGAAAAAGAAAGAAAGAAAGAAAGAAAGGTCCAGAAGAAGGATAATTGGCAAAGAAAAAGCAAAGACAGAAGAACTACATCAAATATCTCAAGTGTTCATACTGTTTGTTGCTGGGGTAGTCTTCTCCAAGACTAGACCCCCCGGCCTGAACAAGACCTTCTGTTTATCATCAAGCACAAGCATGCAATTGTCCCTTGGGCAAGCCCATAAAGCGAGGTCTCTTCATGGTGAGAATTCTGCATGTGATCCCTGATGAGGGTCTTTGCCATGTTCTGGACTTCCATATTTCCCAGTCATGAAAGTCTTGGTAGAAACTACATGAAGCTCTCCACCAGGGGTCTCCCCCATGTGGCGATGTCTCCAACGACAGAATCTTCTTCACGTCTCCGTTGTGAGGACTCCTGTGACACCATCACCTATACCGCGGAGTCCGATGTTTCTGTGATCTCCTTCTACGCCCCATGGACGGAATTTGGTCGCAGGTCACAGGACGCCCCTGTGCTTTTTCGCGCACGCGCGGCGGGGGTAGGCCGCGACAGCACCTACAAGTAGCTACCCACCTGACTGGACGCAGGACAGCTCGCGCTTCTTCAAGGAAACTCCCCCTGCCGCCCTGGCAGGTGGCAGGAGAAGCTTCCTTGAAGAAGCGCTCGCACTAATGATTTGGTTTCTAGATTTTTAGGGAAACTTAAGGTATAGATAGCGTTGGATTCTTGACAAGCGAATGTGTTGACGACGCTAGTCAAAGAGAGGACAGTGCCTGCTTTGCTGGTTTCTTTGCTTTCTTCGTTGCTGATCAGATGTCACGGCTGGTGCTTGTCCAGTTCAGTTAACTCCATCCGATACATCCGATCTTGTTGAGGCCTCCCACATCATCACTGCCGGTGGATTGGGTGGCTGTGCACCTTGGGCCTGTGCTCGGGCGTCGGGGCGTTCGTCTTCTTCGACGGTCGGAACAACGCTCAGCAATAGGGTTTTGTTCAGAAACAGTCATCCACACTCCGAAGAGGGCCGAGAAGAAACCATGATTCAGGACGAACAGCAAGCCAGACGGCCTCAGATCTTGTGACCACACACTTGGCTGCGCTTCGCGAGAAAGGCTGTGATACCGGGAACCATGTGAATGTCTGGAAGGGGCGAAAGGTGAGACGCTCGGCTCGCCTGACACCAGCGGAGCAAAAGTTGTAGAAGCTCCAGTTCTCAAAGTGGAGAAGAACACTTAGCGTCCGATCTCTTGCTGAAGAACTCAGAGCCACCCGAGCGTCGTCCTGCATTTGGCTGGTCTTTTGACAAGAATGAATGAAGGTGACGGTTGTGACAGTGAATCGGTTCAGCACCCAATTAGTCCATTTGGCAGATTGCCACATCAATGGCAAACCGTTTGGTGATCCAAGGTGATGTTCAATGATGAGGCGCTCAAGAGGAGATGACAGGGGCGACATGGGGAGACGTGCAATGATGGACATGACATAAAGGACTTCCTGAAGGGAGAAGCGATCTGCCTTGTGATTTGGATTTGGCAGGAAAAATCCAAGGGGGTACAACCTACTCAGCAGCAACACAAACTTTTGCTAAACGTTTGAAAGTTCTAGAGGCTTCAATTCTTCACCCTCCGATTTGATGCGGTTCATTCGCAGCCTGAAGCAATGTGCAGATTTCACACCTGGCTCAAGAGAGCGCAGTTGAGCGATTTGACAAAGATTTTTTTTCCAAATCGACATTTGATAAAGCGCTAGTAACAAGGGCATCACTAGTAGTAACAGGGGCATCGCTATTGGTAGCTAGAAGCTACTAGTAACAAGGGCATTACTAGTAGCAAGAAGCTACCAACTAAAGCAAAAAAGAGAAAAAGGGAGCTTACTTCCAAGATGCCCAATCGGGCCGGCTGCTTTTTCTTCAGCTGGCGCTGGGACACTGCTCATGTCATTCATGGTGTTATCGAATCCGAAAAAACAAATTGGGAATCTGAACAACGAAAAGAAATAGCGATGCACTTGTTACTAGTAGCTTTTTGTTACTACTAGTAAGGCACCTGTTACTACTAGCGATGCACTTGTTTCTAGTAGCTTCTTGTTACTACTAGTAAGGCACCTGTTACTAGTAGCGATGCACTTGTTACTAGTAGCTTTTTGTTACTACTAGTAAGGCACCTGTTACTACTAGCGATGCACTTGTTACTAGTAGCTTCTTGCTTCAGTTCCGCGAACATGACCCGAACACGTAGTGAGGCCAGGAGCCCCTAGTAGCGTCCTTGTTCCTAGTAGCGATGGGTTCCTAGTAGCTTCTTGCTCCTAGTAGCGATGCCAGGAGCCCCTAAGGAGCCCCTAGTAGCGTGAAAAAAAGATTGAATGTAAGATGACAATTTTGAGCCCCTCAGACATGGATTGTACCTCTTCAGGCCTCGCGGGTTTGATGAATCAAGATTCTGGGAGTCAACAGAGTTTACTTTCGTTTCTCACCTTCCTCCAAGCCAAGCGGGTGAACCCTTCGAAGATGCATGCGCGCTGGTCGGTCCTTCTCACCAGGAAGGCGCTGATGTTTAGGGATTGGGGCCGGATCGGCAACAACTCGGAGGACGGGACCTCGGGATGGAAGAAAAGGCCAGGGGGAGAGCTACGTTCGTAGCGTCGCTTCTCGCTCCGTTCGTAGCGATGCCCAAAATGTTCCGTTCGTAGCTTCTTGTTCCTAGTAGTAAGGCCAGGAGCTACTGGTAGCGTCCTTGGAGGTTCATGAAGTTTCTCCCTGAGAATATGATGTTAAACAAATTAACAAATACAGTAAAACCACTGGTTTGCACTGACCAAGGTTCTTTGCAGTCGGGATGGTACGAGTTGTCGTTGTTGGACGGTTGTTGCTCTTGGTGAAGCGGGTACTGGGTTCATAGAGCAGAGAAGGTGGTATTACAAGCACCTCCTGTCCATTTTCTTGCGGCCGTTTGAGCAGGCCAGCTGATCTACCAAACACTCTACTTGTTTCAACACTCTGGTTTGGGATCGACTAGGTCTGGTGCGGGGGTTTACTGGATCCGACTCCCCTTTCTCCTCCAGAGGGAGAGGTAGTATGCGCTATACATTGAGCCTTGGTGCGTACGTTACCTAGTGTCCACAATTTTTCAGTGCGCCGGTTACCCCCGGCCACACCTGCACACCGATTCTCACCATCAATCGGTCCAAACCTCATCATTTTGCTTACGCAGCTGCAATGAACATGTTTGGTCAGACAGCACCTCTTCTGCTTAGGACCTCGGATAAGTTGCACACGTGAACGACCCAGACGGAGTATCAAGTGGGCATTTCCGTGAGCCCATTCAATATCAATTCAATCATACTTTCAAGACATTTCTCGGGTTCAAAGCTGGTCCCAACGCACGATGGCAGCAGGTGACGCACCGTACTGCAGCGTCGACCGGCCAGGACATGTCTGAACGTTTTGGGCATAGCGTCGATGGCATTGAGTATGACTTCAAGTTCCTTTATGGTTGTGTAGGCGCGGAGAGGAAAGCGGTTGGACTCATCTTTTCACCTACGTAGGCTGGACGAAGAAGTGCGACGAAGAAGCGAGTTGTTTGGCCAGTGCCAGTCGCTGACCTTCAGGAAAGGGAACAATACAACGAACACAAGCCCTCCCCGTCCACCCGAAGTTCCCTTTCTCGGTGCGAAGTGAGCAAGACTTGCTCCGTTCGTAGTAAGGCCAGGAGAGCTACGTAGCCTCGTCGCGATGCCGCACAGGTTGGAACATGAAGGCCTGCGAGATGAATGCAGCCTTCGGCCTGGCACAGCTGAAGAAGTTGGAGCACTTCAAGGTGACGCGGTGTCCACTGACGACTGAGCTGGAGAAATGGGCGTGTCACCGACGACTGAGCGTGGTGGACTGAAAGCTCATCAGATGCCAGAAAGAACCAGTACTGGCATCATTAACAGTTTCTTGTCATTCAATCGCATCAGGATAGCGGCTAGCATGTATGTTAGTATTTCTACCAGCATGTGCAGTGTAGACATGTGCAGTAAGTGATGTGCTACGCCCTACATCATCCTTTACGTATACCAACACACCTGCAACGGCCTGCGCCGTGCGTTGCGCACCTGCAGGCCATCCGCCGAAGAAACATCGCGAGATATTGTTCCTTGGCCGATGGTCATTAGAAACAATAAGCTACTAGGAACAAGTGCATCGCTACTAGGAGCAAGGGCCTTACTAGTAGTAACAAGAAGCTATTAGAAACAAGAATTAAGTTAAATTCAATTAGCGCTCTTGTTACTAGTAGCGATGCACTTGTTCCTAGTAGCTTATTGCTCCTTGGCCCATGGTCATGAGACATGCGTAATTTCACGGTTGCCGAGGCCATCTTCTGCAGATGATCACGTCGGCAAGGAGACAGGTAATGTAACCTATTTTAATCTTAGAACGCCTCACTTAAGGATTTTACTTGCGGAGCTGGGCCAAACCATCCATGGCAAGATTCGGTGTTTGCTGTAGGGGTCCACCATGGTGAACATGCTGAATCCGTTCGATGTTTTGCTGAGGTGAAAACTTGCGGAAGGCGCAGACACGCTGGGGATCTCCAGACAGAGAGAGAGAGAGAAGGAGTGGTCGGTCAGGACCCGTCAGAAGTTTTGTGAACATTTTGTCGTGTCCGCTCCGGCCGTGAGCACCGAGGCTATGTCCTTCCTCATGAAGCTCACCAATATGTTCCTCGACCTTTCGAAGCGAATGCGCTGGGATCATACGATCATTCTTGTGACGAGCAGCGATGGATGTGCAGACTTGGCCACAGCGGTCGTTCACGAGGTACCAAAACAAGTGTCCAGGCTATCCAACTAATCAACTAAAGCACGAAGTCAAGCATGTGAAACATCTACAGCAAATGATACCCTTTTGCTCCTCTTTGTCATCGCAAAGTTGCTGAGTGTCATTTCGTTGTGGTCAAGCAGGAATATATACAAAGTTTTTCGATTGAATACATACTTTGACATTTTGGCAAGCAGTAACAGCTCCAGACCGCTTCCAAGACTGTTTCCCTTTGTGCATGGAAAGCATGTCAAAGCTTTGGACGGACTTGTCATTTCTCCCAGTTGAGGGATGATCCTTGTGCAAGGACTGGTTAGCTATGCCGCTGCTCTATCACGACCGCAAAGGTGTTTTGCGGTACCTGGAGAGCAGCTTGGTGCCAATTGAACCCTTTAAACGGGCTGGTGATATTGCTGCAGTGAAGATCTTTCCAGGACTGAGTGCCCCAAAGCAACACAAATTCTGAGAATAGATGCAGTTTCCTGATGTGTCCTGTACTCTTCCAGTTTTTTTATGGGGAGAACTTGCGAGTGCGACCCCCAACTCCTGGCTGTGCACCCCTGTCTTCCGTTTTTGTGCGTCCCGGTCTGGGGGTGCGACAGCCATACCGCAGTCCGTACCTTTGCGTACAGTAACAAGAAGCTATTAGTAGCTCCTGGCCATACTACTAGTAACAAGAAGCTACTAGGAACAAGTGCCACGCTAGTAGTAACAGGTGCCACGCTACTAGTAACAAGAAGCTACGAACGGGGCTCCTGGCCTTACTACGAACGGAGCATTCTTGCTACTAGGAACAAGGATGCTACTAGTAGCAAGGTGCCTTACTACTAGTAACAAGAAGCTACTAGTAGCTCCTGGCCATACTACTAGTAACAAGAAGCTACTAGGGGCTCCTGGCCTTACTACGAACGGAGCAAGAAGCTACGAACGGAACATTTTGGGCATCGCTACGAACGTAGCATTCTTGCTAATAGGCACGAAACGCATTGGGTGATAACTGATCTGGGCATGTGGCACTCCCAGATGAGAGAAAGGGCCAAAGACTGTTCTGCTTGAAAACCTGTAGCAATAAACTGGATCAAAGTGGATCATGGTATGCAAAATTTGACCAGAAACTTTGTACTAGTCGTCTTTGGCAGCATGTTTGTGATCCTTTCCAACTCAGAATCAAAACGCAAGCTGCATGGATCCTGCAAAGCATGTCCCATCAGTGTCTTCGTGCAGGCAACGAAGTGCAGATTCGGGTGTTCTTTGCAGGCCACTCTTGCGCCGAGGTGTAGAAGATTCTCATACTCCTTGTGAATCTCATACTCCTTGTTGTTTAGCCCGCTCCCCCTTCCCTACTTCATTAAGTAGGCCCCTGCTCAATTAAGCAAGGAAGGAAGCTCCCCGGGGGGAGCTTCCTTGAAGAAGCGCTCGCACTAATGATGTGGTTCCCAGATCTTAGGGAAACTTCACAAATGTTGTTCTATTTAATAGCTTTTTGTTACTACTAGTAAGGCACCTGTTACTACTAGCGTGGCACTTGTTCCTAGTAGCTATGTTGTTCTATTCTCTATTTTCCTCTTTTTGCTATTAGGTTGGAGGCCATCGCTCTTAGGTTGGAGGCCACCCCTACTAGGTTGGAGGTCGTCGCTATTAATTAGTCGCTTATACCATGCAACAATAGGTAGCTGTAGAGATGGAGATTTCGTCCGTTTGCACATGCCACTCCAAAGTTTGCTTCAAGGAAAGCTTTTGAAGGAAGTTCCTAAACCTCCCGTTTTTGCTATAGTATATATACCCCGATACTGGACCAGGCGCCTCATCGACATTAATCCAACGTAGCCTCCCCACCAAGAAAAGTAGGACCCGCTACAAGACAGCGGGAAAGGTATCTCGAGATTAGATCTCTTCGCAAGGAAGCAAGAAGAACAGAAAAAGGACAAGAATGATCCAAACCACAAAGGACAAACCGAAGAAGAAAGAAGAAAAGAGAAAAGAGAAAAGGAGAATCGATGTTCAATAAACATACGCGGCGGTGCCCTTTCGATTGCGCAGGGAACATCACGCGGCATCCAGCTTATCGGCACTACCTGCAAGCCTTCCCTGGCGCCGATCGAGTCATGAAGGAAAGACCCGCGGTCTCGTGTCATTTCGCTCTTCCTCGTTTCCGCGGAGGGTGTGATCATTGGAATGTTGGGTTTGGAATTGGTATAGTGAGAATCGATCATTCATTGATTTATGGGGATTGTTGTATGTTACTGTTCTTGTTTCTGTTCTTTTGATGGGCCATTTTTAGGATCATGCATCATGTCATGTGGATGTCCAATGAGATGTGATGAAATGTTCTATCTCCGCAGAGCAAGCTTATTGCACGGGAAAGCGGCGGACTCCATGTGGGGCATAGGAGAAATGGGGATCAAAGACGCAAGAGGACTCACAATGGTGATAGTGCTCGCAGAGCAATGCAGGGGACGCAACAACATCCTTTGTTTATAAAGAAGATGGTACTCCTTTGTTTCCTCTCACAATCAAGAAGCTACTAGGTGGAGGCCATCGCTCATAGGTTGGAGGCCGCTCTTAGCAGCAAGGTGGTACGCCTTTGTTTCGTGTGACAATCCTGCGCAGAGCCGCCAGCACCTGCCCAGCTGCGATGACAGGAGGGTTTTCTCATCGGAGCTCACCATGGCCTTGAGCTCTCGGACGTGGATCGAGTGTGCGAGCTGTTGATCATGCACCATGGAATGCGGTCATGCCGAAGTCGTTGAAATGACCCGTTTACCCCTTGATTGAGTCGATGATTTGGCCGGGTCATCAAGTTAGTTGAGGGATGCCTTGCGGTGAGTTTCAGATGCATAAAAATAGCTGAGCATGCATCTCAGATACTGGTAGCCGTTGAATTCCATATAGCCTCATGAAGTACCTCAAACTTCCCCCTCCTTCTGACACTCCTTTATCGTGTTCATTTCGGAAGGGCTCATGCAGGTAACCAGGCTTTTACTCTTGGACTTGGTTCCACAGCTGTTGTGCTTTAAAACTTCTCGTGTTTGTTGTCCTTTGTCAGTGCTTTCTTGTTTATTCTAGACATATTTAGACATGTTTAGAACGTGTTTAACCGTTTGCCATTTCCTTTTTCTTTTCTTGTTCTAGTCACCACTAGTCATGCAGGCAGATGATTTTGCACCACAGGCTTTGCTCCTAGTCGCAACTTTGTAAATCGAACCCTAGGGACGCGACGCATATGGAGATAGATTTCAGGTAAAGCAACGAGACGGATAGCGGATAGACTGTTGGGTTGGGTGTGCGTGGGCCAACATGGAAGAGCAGCGATGCTCTGAGAGTTTTGCACCTTTGCAACAGTGGCGCACTGCATAATTTGGAGCGAACATAACATAGTTGTGTGTGTGTGTGCAAAAACTGTGAACTCGATCTTCCAAAAACAGGCAGGTGACAGACATTGTATTTTTGTATAAGGTATTCCTGCCCCGGAAGCGTTGTGTTCGCCGTTCGGTGGAATTGATTTGGGATACAGAATTTAAAAGAGAAATTATGAATAAGGAGAAAAAAGAAAAGGCAAAAAGGTCCGAAGAAACATAAAATCAAGAAGGAAAACATGGAAAGAGGAAAAGCAATAAAATTAAGAAATCATGGCGATAGACATTTCACGCTTTCAGCTGAGGTATGATCGAGCGCGACTTGACTGCGCTGGTGTGGCCAGCTTCGGGCTGGAAAGTGGCGGGTACGGGGCCGCTTTCACATGTTTCGCTCAGGTTTTGCGGATCCCATGGCAGCCCCTAGTAGCGTCCTTGTTCTTAGTAGTAAGGCCAGGAGCTACTAGTAGCGTCCTTGCTCCTAGTAGCGATGCCAGGAGCCCCTAGTAGCGTCCTTGTTACTAGTAGCTTTAGTGGCCACAGAGCGCAAACACTCTACTTCAATGATCTTGGTTGTCCAGCTGGACAGCATCGGTTGTTTCTTTGTCCAGGTAATGCTGGCAGTTTGACTCCTTTGTTGCTCTTCCTGTGTCTACGTTGACACTGCTTTGCACTCACCTTGTCACCGTATCAAAAAATGTAAACGAAATACACTATGAAACACACTAGGCAACTCTCTGAAGCCTGGACCGTACATAGTCATAAAACGGCTATCCCGTTCCATTCTTCAAGCACGTCCTATTGCCATTAGATTGGAGGCCATCGCTAGTAGGTTGGAGGCCATCGCTGTTCGATTGGAGGCCATCGCTGTTCGATTGGAGGCCAAAGCAATTAGGTTGGAGGCCATCGCTAGTAGCTTGGAGGCCAAAGCAATTAGGTTGGAGGCCATCGCCAGTAGG